GCTGGGGCATCCACTCTGCTAATTAAGAACTTGGGGCCTTGTGTTAGTTTCCCAGAGGATTTTCAGGCTATGTGGGTATTTGTACATGCCCACGTAAACACTTAACAAGAGATCCTTCTAGCGTGGCTAGTGAACAAGAGACACTTCAGCCATTCTCCTCCTCACGGTTAGGGTTGGACAATTTCTACAGCACGAGTCAGATGAGGGTTGAAATGCTGGACTCTTGGGCAGTTTCTAGGCTCCCCCACTCCATCTCTTCATTATGGTCAAACATACAATGTGCAAATTGCCTTACACAGTCCCACATAACCTTTGGAGGAATTCACCCTCGCTCTTTAGAGCAGGTTTCATTTTCAGGACCTTAATATACTCTGTGGGGTGAAACTGGGGCAAGGGTGAATCCTCATTTTCTCACATTCTTACATTAAACTGTGACTCTAACTTCCTCAATTTCTCTCACTTTAAAGGAAGCATAGTAATACCTGCCATCTCAAAAAAAGTGAAGTCTGAGGAATGACCATTAAATATTTTTCCCAAAGTGAAAAATAGGAAAGCTACTTCGAAGAGCCTCATTTGGTGGTTCCCAGACATCATCCCACTGACCAATTGCATTTGAATCACTTTTGAAGTTTATTAAAAATAGAGATCCCCAGGTTCCACTCTGGAGCTACTGATTCAGAATAGTCAAGGATGGGAACCAGATTTTTGAACTTTCAACGAGCCTGTGAGATCAGTCTGCTTTTTGATAAACCACTGGACTCTGACTTCCTTAGGAGGCAAAATAACAAAGACCCATTGTGTGATTCTGTAAAGAAAACTTTGTCTGTATATCACACACAGCACACACAATTTCTTTCTCCCTTTTCTGTGCTTATTTTCTTTCATTTGTGCCCCTTTCATTGCTTCTATTTTAGATCCTATCATCTCAGTTATCAAGCTTAATTTCTTTCTTGCCAGGAAGCATTGTATAGAATTACTTTGGGATCTTATTAAAATTGATGCTAATTAACCTGACCATATTTATTTTCACATCAGATAGTATGAGTAATCCATGAGAGACATTGAACTTTAGACACAAGGGAAGTTAAAATGCCTATGACGCAAATAGAGGCATTAGAAAAAGATTATTGGACAATTTAAAGCTAACCGAATGCTACTTTTTCCTGTTACTGTAGCTGATGTTCCAACATAACCGTCTGTTTTTAATTAGTGGGAAAGGAGATGTTTGAAGACATTGCAGAAATCTGGTACCATGGCAGCAAGAGTGGGTGAAGATGGCCAAAACTTTCCAATGCAATTGAGATTTTATTCATCTGTAAACTGAGATGGTTGTGCTGCAAGATCTCTCTCAGCTCCCTTCTCACTCTAAACTGCCAGCAGTCCAGGAATGACCATAATCCTTGAACAAATCCTCAGAAGTTTAGCAAGAACATGAACATGTAAAATTAGCAGTCACCTGTTCCTCTTAGACTTGAAAGAAAGAAGGAGGTGGTTTTAACAAAGGAATCCAGGATATATTAGGCCAAATAAGGTAACCAATTGTCCAGGTTTCCTCAGCACAAAGGGGTTTACTAAGACACAGGACATTCAGTGCTCAAGCCAGGACAGTCACAGCCAAAGCACCATGATTGGTCATCCTTAAGCAAGAGGATGAGTTCGTGAGATACAAATGCAAATTTTTTACCTTGTAAGTATGATTAAGTTTTTGACACACTGACAGGTGAAGCTGGAGCTCTTTAGATTTTGGACAGATGGCTGGGATATGAAAAGTGATTTCCAATCACCTGAAGTATCCAAACCAGAACAAAAAAACAGCATATAAACATGAAAGCACCTAAGGTATGATCTGAATAAAAAGCAACAGAGTACTTGAGAAGGAATATAGATAAACATCTTTATAAGAAAGGGGTCTGGGAATTGTATGGTAAATAGCAACTGGTTTACACAAAGCACTTCCAACTGAAGAGCCCATCAGGAAGCAATTTATTTCCAGTGAATCTAGTGCCTCCCAAATAGTTACTAAATGTACAAATAAAATAGCAGTTGATTTCTCTCAGAGGTAAACATGGACCTGCTTAGCAATTATACCTATTTACCTGGCTCCCCAGCCTATATTTCTGACCCTCAGATATGCGTGATCCATGGATTTATGCAAAAACATGGTTCCATCCAGAGAATGTTTGAAGAGTAATTCATAAAAATAAGGAACTATTTTATTTCACCTTAAAGTTATTATGAAAGATACTATGAATTTTAAAATATATGTATGGAGAGAGAGGATCCTGGAAAAGTGGTGGAATAGGGAATTTGTCTTCCTGCCCAGATCACAATTGTACTGGCAGATTCTGTCCGACGTAACTATTTTTGGAACTCTAGAATCTATTGAAGGCTTGCAACTTCCAAGGGAAGGCTTGGACAGTAAATTGTGGTTAATTTCAGCTCTTAGCACAGAAAATGAGAGACAAAATAAACCATAAGGCATATAGAAAACAAACACAAAATGATGGAAGTCCTTCCTTATCCATAATTATTTTCAATGTAAATGGATTAAATTCTCCAATCAAAAGACAGAAATTGACAGAATGGAAAAACAAAACAAAACATGATCCAAGTATGTACTGTCTATAAGAGACTCACTTTAGATCCAAAGACACTAATAAATTGGAAGTGAAAAGATGGAAAAATATTCTATGCAGATAGTAGCCAAAAGAGAGCAGGCGTGGCTATTCTATATAAGACAAAATAAACTTTAAATAAAAAAAGTTTTTCATTGGGCATAGTTTCAGTTTTGCAAGATGAAAAAAGTTCTAAATATGGATGATGGTCGTGGTTGCACAGCAATATGAAGTACTTAACATCACTGAACTGTACACCACGACAGTCAAGATGGTAATGTATCTGCTACATATATTTTCCCATAACAAAAAGTGTTTTAAGCGAGAAAAACATGTTTTCGTGTTTATATAGTCTCCTACTTCAGAAAAGGACTCAGCTTTTTAGGAGGTGATGATTATGTTTGCAGAGACAATAATATAATCTCTATTATGTTTTATTAAAACAAGGTAGAGAAAAATATCCAGTAACAATAGCTTGCCCCTATATTCAATGAACTCATTTCAACCTATTCCTTGACTGACTTCTTAGCCATATTTAACACAATTTATCACTCCTTCTTTCTATATGAACAAAATAACAAACTTCTAAATATAAAATATTTCTAAATCTAATAGCATAGCAGTGTACAGAGCCTTATTAGAGCCTGAGGCAAAAAAAAACTATCAATAATTCTGATCTTGTCTCTATTTAAAAGTTTGATTTTTGATCATATGGATCTTTTGCATTAACTCAGGTGTTTTTTTAACATTGCATTAAAATATTATTTATCTTAATTACTGGGGTTTTGGGCACCCCCTTCAATTTTGTGTCCTGGGTGAGTCCCAACCCTGAAAAGACTCTCTTCCTGACACTTCTGTGACAAACCACAGTACTAGTTTTTCTGGTCTCTTTTTGGTCTCTCCTTCTCAATCTTCTTTGCAACTCTTCCTCTGCCAACTAAATGTCAATGTCCTTCAAGGTTCTTTTTACGTCTTCTCTCCTTCCTCTATAGACACCACCCAAATTATTCATATATTCTCTTGTTCCTTCTTCACTTTACCTTCCAGCCACATTAGCACCCACACTATATGGATAATTTAATCCTAATTTAACCCCAATTACCTGCCTTTGTGGGTTAGTCAATTCCTGTTTCCATGATGTATTTCTGGAGACCAACTCCCCACTTCCAATGAAATATTTCCTCCATCCAGAATTTAAATCTCTGTACCCACCAAAACCTTCTCCCCACCTCCCTCATGCCTGCCTCATACCTTAGGGTATAGGAAGGGAGAGGAAGAAATAGAAACCCTCTGGGCCCTCCACTTTATTCCTCCTTCTATTTTATGCTCTAGTTACTCAACTACGCCAAAATCTCTCAATTTCACAACTTCATACACACTGTCCTTTATGTCTGGTCTATTTCCTTACTTTTACTAGCAAATTCCTGCATATCCTTCAAGTCTCAACCTACATGTCCCTTCCAGGTAGACCATCTCTGACCTCTAGATTATCTTTGCTTCCCCTGTTATGTGCACCTGTAGGACTCCGTACTTTCTCTTTCATATCCCTCATTATGCATTATTATAACTACTCATTCCATTGTCTATCTTCCCCAGTAGACCACAAGCTCCATGAAGGCAGAAGCCATGTCCATCTTGTTCACAGTTATATATCCAGCTCTAACATAGAGCCCAGGATGCATCAGCTACTCAATAAGTAATTATGTAAGGGAACAAGGGCAGTCAGTGAGAATCAAACACCACCCAAACAGAACCTGTGCAATCAATGAGCTACTGAGCAAATGAGCAAAACACAGCAAATGCAAAGATCACAAAGTCCAGCCACTGTTAGGAAGCAGCTAAAGAGAAAGCCCCACATTTTTTTCTAGCCTGGAACCTATCTTTTTGCTAAATAACCAGGACTCCTTGCCCTCATGCTATCTGTATAATAGGCAGAGCACAGTCCATTTATTGGCTTGGGTGACCCAGGGCCTCAGAAATCTTGGCAGACCTCTGCAGGGCCATCTGGCCTTTAGCATCCCTCCTGAAACTCACTCTGCTCTGCTGTGAGCAAATGCTCTGCCTGTTTATCTTTTCCAGAACATAGGCTTCAACTTGTTTGCTGGCTATTGCACCTCATCAGAGTTTGGCTTCACATGGCCGTTGGGAAGGATTCAAATCTGCCAGATCCCAAAAGCTCACCATGATGTTGGGAACCCCTACTGAACATAGTTAGGTTCCTAATATTCTTCAGAGAAGATTATGCTGATTTCAAGTGTTTGAAGCCAATATTCATGGTCTTACTGGACAACAGTTTGAAACAGGTCTGATCCCATAGGTTAAAAAAACATTAGTGGCCTAACTGACTTTAGCCTAAAACTTACGGGGTATATGTAAAACAAAAGTCAACAAATTCAAGCTGGAAAATGGAGAACTTGGCCTTAGAATCTTCACTGAAGACCGCAGAAGAAGGAAGAGAACTTTCTTTTCCTGAAAGAATGAAGACTGTCACATGAGCTGGACATGTGCACAAAACACCAGCTTCTTATCATCCAAAAAAGAGCAAAAAGTTCATTAAAAAAAAAACAACAGAGAACTTCATTAACCTCGTGTGTGTGGTTAATACTTCCTATTAGCACAGGGGGATTTGTCAGAAAACACTTAGAGCTTCCCTGACCATTTGGCCTTTCCTGTACTAAGAGCCGAGACTCACATAGCTAATAAACCTCACTAACAAATTAGCATAATCTATAAAAATACTGCAGCCTAAAATGTTATAAAATGGTAGAGCTGAATGTAAATCTTGAAAGCGTTTTTTTTTTCCCTGTATCCCAGTAAGCACGGTCCCCCTTTATAAATGTGATGCCAAAAATAGATACACAGTGCTTAGTTCTTGGAGAAGGATCTTGTGCATGTCACTCCACACTGCAGAGGCTCCGCACAATAAGAGTAAGTACTTTTCCAATCCATTTTCCCTGGGATCTTTTCCTCGGAACATCAATATGTGAGCCAAGGTTGCTTAGATGCAGGCAGCAGGAGACACTCCGATAATACAAGACTAGATACTCTGCCTCCCAGACTCAAAGGAAAGCCTCCCTTGAAGAAAAGCCACTTCCTTTTATGTTGATGTGTCCCACCCTTGGCTTTTCTTGCAGTGCCATATCTTTATGTTTTTCTTCAAATTAGAAATTAATAATGGAAATCTGTGTACCAAAAGGTATCATGAGGGATACATTTTGGATTTTTTTCCCCACAGAGGACAGAGTTCCAGCCCCTGGGAATTTTTTAACAGTTTGGCTGACTTTTTGTGCCAACACCAACTGCTGGTTAAATCATCTAATCAGCCAGGATGAGGCCTTTGTTCTCCTGCTTTTGTGACTTCTTTTCTTTTAACAATTAAAATTGCCAACAATTCTGAATGGTGTCCCATACTTCTCTTCAATTTGTTTCCATGTGAAGATAAAAACTGTGTCTAGACCCAATTATAATGGGATGCATAATTGACCCACTGTTGTAAGACCTACAAATAGCCCAGCCTGTGTGGCTCAGTGGTTGAATATTGACCTATGAATCAGGAGGTCACCAGTTGTGGGCTCCATATCCAGTAGGGGGCATGCAGGAGGCATCTGATCAATGATTCTCTCTCATCACTGATGTTTCTATCCCTCTCCCCCTCTCCCTTCATCTCTAAAATCCATAAAAATATACATTTTTTAAAAGACCTACAAATAGAGTCGCTCTACAATGGTTTGGAAAGGAAATTTTTACTAGCAAGCCACAAAAGGGAAAAAATGCATCTCCACACTCTTTTCTTACCTATATTCATCATCAACAACAGCAATTATGTATTAAGTACCAACCATTATCACTAGTTTGGATTTTAAATTAATAAAGCTAGACCTATGCAGTTTATCAATTTAGAACAAGGTCAGACATTTGCTTACAGAAACAAAGGTCTTTCCATTTCTGTTTATGATTTAAATCTTTTTTTAATTGAAGCTCAGGAAAGAGGTGAAAATGCAAAGCTGATTTTCTTCCCCATACATGACTTTTTGACTTACAGTAGGTCAAGCATCGGTGCTCAGGGTTACAGGCAGGGGAGGTTATGAGACACGTAGAGATATCTGTAAGAAGAAAAATCACAATTACTTGGGGAGTCTCAAACAATATAAAAATTTTTATCGAGAGTATGATACCTCATGATATCTAAATTCATATGAGACTCTCTTCATTTCTTCTCTTCTTGCCCCCCTTTCAGGATCTATTCTTGGCATACTATTTTTAGATTTCTACACTATTATTCCATTAACTGGCAAAATAATAAAAGTCAAAGATTTCTCCTTAGAAAGCATGTAGGAAATCTGTCTCAGCAAATCTCTGTAAGAACTCTTATAAGGCTATTTATTCCTAAATTCTAGCTGCAATTTGAATTATGTAAATACAAATATTTATTTTGTCAAAATGAAGAAGTCTCTATAAGAAAATGTAGGAAAAAAAGATTCCCATTGAAATATAAAATTATTTTAAATCCATCAACCATAACTATTTGAATTATCTAAGGAAAAACTCATACTCAAAATTGGTCTCAGTGTAGAAATCATGGCCGTATTATCCTTATTTACACACTGCCAGTTTCCATTTACATTATTTGTATCCCTTAATGAAGATCGCCTTTATATTTCCTTACTGAGTAGTTCTACATGTAGCCACAGGTAGTCCTTGAGGATTTAATAGTTTTCGTACAAATGCAGTGAATAAAAAGCATGTATCTTAGTTGTTATATAGCCATTATTATATGTGGGAAAGTCTTTGCATAAAGCAGTTTGGGAAAACAGGTACAAAACTAGTATTAGGAGCCTCGTCCTAACAGAGGTATGCAGTATTTCCCAAAGCTCATTTCCCAAAGCTATCCCTGTGAAAGAAATGAAAATTTCAGAATGTCCAGAGAATAAAGAGAACGAGAACTCAGACTGACTGAGAGAGGGCCATGACCCATTGCTGGCTACCTGAGGGTTTAGGGCTTAACCAACACACCCGCTCCGTTCATCCTCAGGATTAGTGCATCACTGTTCAAAATATTTCCACAATGAACAGCCATCTGTGTGAATTTACCTTGTGTTCAGCACCCCAGTTTGGCACCACTTCCGTCTGTCTCTCTGGCTGTAAGCATCACAGCCACTGTTTCTGTCTTGATAGAGCCATTTGAAATAACCAATTTGTGAGTAAGACCTACGAATTATTTGAGAATTGGAAAGACAAAGCTACTCTGAAGAGGTTTCCATTCTACTCGTAGCCTGAGCATTTTTCGCAGCAAAGGACAAACCTTGTCTCTTTCAAGAGCATGCGTGTATTTGGCTGAATAATGCCTTCAAGGAGCAGTTGTACAAGACAGGTTTTATGAGAATCAAAATGGAGTCACTGAAATCTCTCAAGCCATAAAGTTTCCCCTGAACCTGATAGTCTATTCCTACCTTTATCTGCATATATACATGTTTAATTTCTAATAAAGATTTTCATTCAGAGATGGGTTTAAACAAATAGTTGAATAGGTTCACACACACCTTGGATAAGTTAAAACATACATCTGAAAATACCATCTTAAACAACAGTAAATGTAGTGGAATTATTGAAGTTATTTTTATAGAATATATTTCAACATAATCTTTATATCCTAATATTGATAATGTCCTTAGAAGATGTTAGGATATTGAATAATTCCCTTGAATTAATACAGAATTCTCAAGACATCCAAAAATCTATCTTGCCTTTGAAAAAGAAGAGGGGAGCGGCTCTTCTATATGAGCTTGAGTTTATAAGAGCTTACAGTAATTCCCTCTCTATCCCTTCTTAAGCCACATAATAAAGAAGGAGAGGGAGCACTCCAGCCACAAAGCAGAGGTCGGTCCTCACTTGGACCCCACTACCAAAACAGAGATATCTGCATTGAAGTAAGTAATAACTATTACTCATAACCAATATGAGCAGCAAACTTAGCTTGTGCCAGGCACTGTACTACAAGCCTTATATGAATTACTTCATTTAATTCTCAAAACAATTCTATAGCCCCAGCTGGTTTGGCTCAATGGATAGAGTGTCGGCCTACAGAATCCCCAGTAGGGGGCGTGCAGGAGGCAGCCAATCAATGATTCCCTCTCATCATTGGTGTTTCTATCTCTCCTTTCTCTTCCTTCTCTCTGAAATCAGTAAAAATATATTTTTTTAAAAACCAATTCTATAAACACTCCATGATTTGAGATTAAGAAAGTTTTTAGAGGGTTAGAATTGCTAAATCCACAGACTAGAAAAGACTGGCACTAGAATCAGCTTGTGCTGTCATACTCCAGAGCCCTGTGCTCTTGCTGAATCAGCCACAGCATCTTTATGAATCTTATGTAAGCCCTTCGAGCATCTTCAAGTCATCATTTCAGAGTTACAATTTTGTACCCCTTTCCCATCCTTAATCTGCTTGTCTTTTAGTTCATGTATCAATTTACTTCCTTCCACACTGAAGTAAGCCCAATAAGGTAAGAAGGCTTCTAGAATTGAACCAATAATCAGAATCAGGAAGTAATAATTACATTTTTCATTTTTCAGAAGTAATAAGACAAAAGTTGGAAGAGTGGGAAAAAGGAAGTTTCTTTTTCAAAGTAGCTATTTTTAAAATATATATTTTATTGATTTCAGAGAAGAAAGGAGAGGGAGAGAGAGATAGAAATATCAGTGATGAGAAGAAATCAGATGCCTCCTGCACATCCCACACTTGGGATCAAACCCACAACCCGGGCATATGCCCTGACCGGGAATTGAACTGTGACTTCCTGGTTCATAGGTCAATGTTCAACCACTGAGCTATGCCAGCTGGGCTCAAAGTAGCTATTTGACATGTCAATTGAAAATAGATATATCAATTGTAGTGTATTCTCAAATGTGATCTCTATAACAGCTAAAATAAATTACATCTAACGGATCAACATGAAAAAAATATGAAAAACAAGTTTCAATGAAGAAATTAACTTGGAATATGTTGTGTACTTAATATCACTTGTAAATCCATAAAATAATATTATGCATAGATATGGATACACACATGTAAACAAAATGCATAAAACATTGGTGGGAAGGAATGAAATGTATCTCAGGAATCGTTGCTTCTGGGGGACTGTAGGAGTTAGGAGCTGGGGAGAAGTAGAGGACTTCGACTAGACCTTGTAACGTTGGATTTATTTTAAAATATCTGAAGCAAAGTTGGCCAAATGTTTACACATTTGTTCAATGTAGGCACAGGTTATATTAGTTTCTATAGATTCCTGAATGTTTGAAATAGATGATCATTTCAACTGCACAACTGAGGTGGGAAAAGTTGTAAGAAATAAGTAATATGTATTGTGAAGTATGAAATGTATTTATACATAATTTACACTCTCTTTCTGAGGAAAATGAAAGAAGGCCGTGGGAAAGAGATGGACCAATCACTGAGAAACGCAAGGAACATGGAGCAGACTGGTGGCTGTTCTGAGCAGGCCTGTTTGGGAGGAGGAGATGTCAAAGTGGTGGTTAGATAGGCCCGGGAGGAGAAAGGGAGAAGAGAGGACCATGTACTGAGGGTAGGAGAGCTACAGGTAAATAAAATGTTTGGGACCTGAGCTATCACTGGCTGAAATGCAGAGCCTATCTGGGCTAGAACTGAGCCTCAAATACATCCAAGTTAGGGACAACGAGGAGCCCTGCCAGCCTTTGTCCCTCCCACAGACACAGAATCTCTTAGCATAAACTGCATTCCTTGAGACCGCAGGTCCTACTGGGAAAATAACTGAATCCTGACCTCGACTAGGCTTCATACCTATACAACTATGTCTGATTAGTTGGGGGTACCTCAAATAAAATGAGATATATGGGAGACAACAGAAAATTTACCAAATGGAGCAAGGTATCTGGTGCAGTAATTCAGACAAAGGACCTGAGGGTTGCAAGGCAGTGAATGTTAGTAGCTGAGAGCAGAACCCAAAGCATCCCAGCAGCTTGTCTGAGCCCTGTGCCTAGGAATTAACAGCTATCCCACAACTTGGAAATTCTGGGGTACAGACCTTCCCACCATTTCCAAAACTAAAGAAAGAAACATTCTGGGTTTTTTTTATCCTCAAAAACATTGGCCAAAATATTAGCAGGGATCTCAAATGACAAGGCATTGGTGGCAGCAAGGTCCCAGCTTACCAGGCTCAAGGCAGCTGCAAGATCAGAGCTCCAACTAAGTTCCAGGTGGAAGTCCTGGCTGCAGCAGAAGCAATGCAGTTCGACTCGGAAGAAAGCATGGTATGTCTAAGTTACTGTGCTTGCAGGCTAACCAAGCCTGTTCTAGAACGCTTATTGCAAAAAAGCACTCTTTTTCTCATTTTGCAAAAGTGCCAGTGGCTGAGGTGCTTGAGAACCGCACCTCTGTGGCATGCTGGCACCAATGCCGCAGCAGCACCCAGGCCCGTGGCTGGGATCTGCAGCTAGACTGCGGTAGCAGCAGCACAGCTCCAGGCCTGGCAGCTCTGGCAACCAGTCTTGGAAGCTCCCGTGGTGAACTCTAGCCCGGTCTCTGTGTGGGTAAATTAAAAGCATCTTGTGTGGGAATTTCCACAACTGTGTGGAGAAAGGGAACTCTACAAGAACCGTCATGGGTAGGTGGGGTGCAGAGTAACTGAGACGTTTTGGGGCTCCCAGGAGGGGAGGGAGAAGGCTATGTCCAAGTCACCATAACTTGCTGCTGTGAAAGACAGCATGACTATGAAAGATTTGTGCTTCAGAGGAAACATAATGAAATAAAACACAGTTGAATTAGATGCTTCTTCCCAGTATTTTTGCATCCCTCTGAGATATGGATTTTTGATTAAGAAAAGAAAGAACGGAGAAGGACCGGAGGGAGGAAGAATCTGCAAATGATCAAATATATCCACTTATGAATATGTCATAATGACAATCTTTTCAATTATAAGCAAAGAGAAACCTAATCCTGGAGTCTGTTTTCAATGGAACTTTGTGTAGTAAGTAAAATTTTAGCCTGAAGCTTGGTGGTATAAGAGGAGAGGTGATAGAGTGCCTCCAGCAGGACGGCTACATGTATAAATCCAGGTGAAAAGAGGAGCTGAGCAACAGTGACCACAGAATCAACCTCAAATCTAAGAATGCCCCCCACTCATTCCTGAACACTTAGAAGTCCATCACACAAGCAATCCTCAGCTTACTAAGCATCTATCCTATCTAATAAAAGAGAAACATGGTAATTAGCATACGACCGCTACCCTTCCCATTGGCTAATCAGGGTGATATGCAAATTAACTGCCAGACAAGATGGCGGCCGGCAGCCAGGCAGCTTGAAGGGAACATGAGGCTTGCTTGCTTCAGTGATGGAGGAAACCAAGATCCCCACCTGCCACGGCCCACGGCTGAGTTCTGAAAGCAACAGCTCCAAAAGCAACAAAGTTTCAATTATAGAAGCCAAACAAACCCCAGATACATGTTTTCAGCCAGCTGAGGTCTCATAGCTGGA